GTAGAAGGGAGGGAGGGAGAGAGTGGGGGGGTGTAGAAGGGAGGGAGGGAGGGAGGAAGTGTGCATGTGTTTCCTCCATCACTGCACCACAAACACTCTGCCCTAGAGGATCAACAGAAGGAACAGGCTATATTTAATCATCCCAAGAAATGAAAAAGATCCAAAGACATCCATAGTCAGATATAATAAAAGACTTTATTCCATTTTAGAAGTGTTTAAGAACAAAAGAAGATATTTAAAACTCCTTTAATACAATCCTTCTAAAATCAAAAGCCTAGAAAAGGATTAGAAAAACCAATCTTCCTAGTTTCCAAAAGCTTATTTTAAACCATTCTAAATTAATGGAAATCAATCCTCCAGAGCATGGTCTAGTGATTTACACCATGGAAATCCTGTCTGCACTACATGCACTGTTAACACTATTAATCCTTCTGTATTATTTGTACCACTCCATATGCCAGATGGACCATGGGTAACCTAAAACTCGAAACTACATTTCACGCATTTTTCAAATCACTTGCTTTACAAATGAGCAGAGTATCTTCCAGTGTACTATGTGAAGCTCCCAACTTTTCTTTTAGAGATGTTAGTTCTCTTAATATGAACAGTTCAGATCAGTGTAATTCATTTACAAATTATTTAAATTGCTCTGGTTTGCACATAGTACTTCCCTGAAAAATGTTCAGTTTATTTAACAAATGAGGTATATACAAACAATCACAGTAAAACCCACACTTAAAAATAACCCAAAAGTGGGCTGGAAAGGCGGCTAGTAGTAAAGTCCTTGCCTTGCATGCATGAGGCCCTGGGTTCCATTCCTCAGCACAGCATAAGCAGAAAAAGCCAGAAGTGACACTGTGGTTCAAGAGGCAGAGCTCCAGCCTTGAGCTGAAGAGCTGAGGGACAGCGCCCAGGCCCAGAGTTCAGGCCCACCACTGACAAAAAAAATAAAAGTAACCCAAAAGTCCTTCAGCAGGTGAATGGTTAAAAACTTTGGTATAGCAACATTGTGGAATAGTAATACAGCAACAAAAGGAAACAATTTTTTTAAATATGTGATAATTTGGATGGTATTCAAGGAATTAATGCTAAGTCAATAAGCTTCCAAAGGTAGTAAATCGTATATCCCACTTATATAATATTGCTGAAATAACAAAATGACATCACTAGAGACAAGACTGGGCATTATCAGGTGCAAAGGTTGGGGGTGGGAAAAACTGTAGTGTGGCTAAAAGAGGAGCCCCAAGAAACCTTGTAGAAATTGGTCTTGGTTGCAATACTAACAGTTACACAAATCTATATGAACTAAGACTGTACTGAATTATACACATACATGGAAATAAGTGCTTTGAAAACACTGAAATATGAATAATCCAGGAATATTGGACAAATGTCACATTCCTACTTTTGATATTATAGTATAGACATTCAAGAACTGACAGTAGAAAAAAGTGTATTTTTTTCAAACAACTTTTTATGAACCTCTAATATTTTCAAAATAAAAAATGTTGTCAATCTTGAGTTTTTAAGCAATATGTGAAAAACATATTATTTCTGTATTCATTCATGTAAAAATGTTACTCTTACTGGGCATCAGTCACTCATACCTTTAATCCTACCTACTCAAGAGGATGAGCTCTGAGCCAAACTAAGCAGGAAAGTCTGTTAGATTCTTATCTCCAATTAACCCCCAAGAAGCCAGAAGTGGAGCTGTCACTCAAGTATATAGTGCTTGCCTTAAGGGGGGAAAAAAAAAACTCAAACAGTACCTAAACCCTGAGTTCAAGTCCTAAGACTGGCCAAAACTTTTAAAAAATTACTTGTTAAAATTGGGAAACAAACTGGAATTAGCACTGTAGGAAAATTGCATTAGAATACAAATTCCCATTAGAATACATCATCCAGTATAATATAAGAAGGGGCAGCACCCTTTACCATGTCCCAAAGTAAAAGCACAGAGGGATGAAAACATCACAGAGGAGGCATGGGACTAAACATGCTTCAGAAGCAACAGTATACAAACTATGACTTACAGCCCAAAGAATCTATAATTAACTTTGCTTTTGTTGTTGTCAATTTTCACAATAGGATTTTTACTCAGAGCCTTGCACTTGCTAGGTGAGTTCTCCACCACATTAAGTTCTAAGCATAACTCGACATTTTTAAAGGAGTATTTATGAGACGAAGGAAGGAAACCTTTGACAAAGAAATAATACATTACCCTTACCTCTCCCTATGAGCAGTTTGGTTTTCTGTAGTTTCAGTTGCCTATTGTCAGCCACAGTATGAACGTATTAAGTGGAAAATTACAGAAATAAACAATACATAATTTTTAAATTTAACAGCATGCTGAGTAAAGTGAGGAAATCTTGTGCTGTTCTGCTATCTGCACAGTCACTCTATTTTCTCCAGGAAGCGAATAATCCCTTTCTCCAGCATAACAACACTATAGGTGCTACCCACCAGTTAGTCACTTTGTGATCTGGGTTATCAGATCAGCAGTCAAGCTACAGCAGTTGTAAGTTATTATTAGTTTTACAGTGGTTCATAGCCTCCAACTGTCATGGGTATGTATGTGTATGAGAAAAACACAGCATATATAGTTTAATAGTATCATATATGAACTTTCATTCCCCTCAGGGTCTGATGTGCCTATATTATTACCTCAACTTAACAGAAAGATGTTGCCAAGCCTGTTCAGAAGAATGCCTCAATAAATTTCATGTCAACCTTCAAAGAAGCCCTCATTAGAATTAAAAACATGGCTCCCTGTTTATAAAATCTATCTGCCATTTTTGATCAGGTCCAAGTTCTTGATGTTTTTTGCTTACTTGGGAAAGCTTACTTACCAATGGGAGTGCTGCCTTCAGGGAGCCCAATGACCTGAAAGAACTTCTAAATTCATGCCCCCACTCAGAAATACAGTGAGCCTCATCCACAGCAATAAGCGAGATACCTACAAAAGTGAAACACATACACATAAAAACACAAAAAAAATCCAAAAGATAAAATGGTCACCTAAATCAACACTGTCTTCTCGATTTAGATGACATAACTCGTTAGAAATGGAAAATAGCCAAATCAAAGTATTTGGTTCATATGAAAATATAAACATAACACCAAGTTAACACCAAAAGTTGTTACTAAAAAGATGAGTAGGGAAGATAAATGGATAAAGGCATTAAGATTTAAATATATATATAGGTATATAAACTTAAATATCATGTATCTATTTCAGTTTTCATCATTATTCCTTAGTAAAGTAAAATTCATTACTATCCATTTGTTCTCCAAAATATCACTTATGAACCACCTACAACAAAGTCTCTCTTTAAGAGACTATTGGGCACCAATAGCTCACATCTATAATCCTAACTACTCAGGAAGCTGAGTCTAAGGATGGCCATTGGAAGGCAGCCCAGACAGAAAAGTATACAGGACTCTTATCTTGTGGCAAATGCCACAAGTAGCTGTGTTCAAGTGATAGAGCACTAGCCTTGGGCAAAAAAAGCCTGGCTACAAGACTTAGGGGCCCCACCACAAAAAGGAAAAAAAAAAAAAGAATTGTTCTCTTTGGTAGTACGTTTAATTTTATCTCATGGATGGACTATCAAGCAACAGAAGTTAGCACATTCTGGGCTAGAAATATGGCTTAGTAGTAGAGTGTCACATACACAGGAAAAGCAGGAAGTAGCATTGTGGCTCAAGTGGTAGAGTATCAGCCTTGAGCAAAAGAAGCTCAGGGACAGTGCCCAGGCCCTGAGTTCAAGCCCCAGGACTGGCACAAAAGAGAAACAAACAAACAAAAAAGAGTGAGTACATTCCTGAGATTAAATACATCACTTTTTAAGACTGATCTTATCAAGTTCAGAAAGTTCCTCTGCAATAATAGTATTAGAAAACAGAACTGACAACCACACAACCCTTGTGTAAAATGGGATGAGAAAAATTAATATTTTTATGTACAAAGTAGGTTTAATATCTAAGACAAAAGTAATTTTCTTCATTTCTCAGTTTTAAAAATGTTTGTATTCGTGTATCGCACCTAACCTTTTTTTTTTTGGGGGGGGGGGGGGGGTCCGGTCATGGGGCCTGAACTCTGGGCCTGGGCGCTGTCCCTCAGCTCTTCAGCTCAAGGCTAGCACTCTACCACTTGAGCCACAACACCACTTCTGGCTTTTTTTCTTTTCCCTTATGTGGTGCTGAGGAATCGAACCCAGGGCCTTATGAATGCAAGGCAAGCGCTCTACCACTGAGCCACCTTCCGAGCCCCTAACATTTCTTATAACATCAAAAATAAATGAGATCATTCATTTGTCTAAGAAAAGAAAGCCTGATACAAAAAAGTAACAAATTGGGTGTTGATGGTTCATTCATGCGTTTAGCTATCCAAGAAGCTGAGATCTAAGGATCAAGATTCAAAGTAGTATAAGCTGAAAAGTCATTTTCAAAACAACCAGCAAAAAGTTAGTCTGGATACAAATAGCTCAAGTAGTAGAACACCAGTCAAGTAAGTAAGCATTTGCAATAAAAGCTTTGAATGCAACTGTCATATAGTGGAATATGACCACAGAGAAGAAAACAACAAAGGAGAAACGTACAGTACAAAACAGCTTTTGATTATTTCTATATTTACATTTTCTGATTAAAAAGAAAACCTCTAATATAGGTTTAGGTTTTTGTTGATTTGTTTTTCCTTTTTTTACTTGTAATCAGTCATACGTTTAATAAAAGGTAGTATGGTTTCCTATGAAAAGCTACATATGTTCGGCCTCACAGGCCTGTTACAACTGAATGTTCAAGGTGGGAAGCTGTTTCACTACATGTTTCCTAAAGCTTGAGGTGTGACATTCATGAACAAAGATAAAGAACTACTACTATGCTGATGTAATCTATATTAAAAATATGAACGGAAACACAATTTTGTACAATATGAATTTTGTAAAATATAAAATTCAATATATAAAATACATGTGGAAATTTATATCCCAAACACTGCACTGCAGAAATTTAAATAAATAATTTTTCCCTCAAAAAGGTTTATTGGTTATGTAAAGAAAATAGGTACATAAAAAGACAACAATACAGAAGAACAATTTCTATGGCAAAATGAATTTTAGGATGAGATAAAACAGAAGAAATACCAAGTTGGAGAGACAGAGATTTCCTTAAGATAATATATATAGTTGTTTTTTTTTTTGGTCCAGTCGTGGGGCCTGAACTCTGGGCCTGGGAGCTATCCCTCAGCTCTTCAGCTCAAGGCAAGTGCTCTACCACTTGAGCCACAGAACCACTTCTGGCTTTTTCTGCTTATGTGGTGCTGAGGAATCAAACCCAGGGCTTCATTCATGCAAGGCAAACACTCTACCACTGAGCAAACTTCCCAGCCCCCGGGAAGATAATATTTAAAATAAACTTTAACACAAGTGAAATCTAGGACTGTGCCCGGTAATGCACACCTGTAATCTAAGGAGGCCACGTTGAAAAATATGGCAGTTGAAAACCAACCCCTGGCAAAATTAGAGATGAGATCAGTGATATGTACTGCAATCTTAACTACAAAAAATGAGCTGGAAAACTGTGAGCCAAGGTTGCCTTGACAAAAATTTAAAATCTTATCCAAATAATAACTAAGGCAAAAATGTTTAGAGCAAAGCTAAAGTGTTCTGAGTTCAAACATCAATAAAATCCTCCCCACAAAAAAAAAAAAAACAAAAAACAAAAAACAAAGCATCCATCCACAGGTTTAAAACAACAAAAATTCAAACTCATACCTGTAAGCCTAGCTACCCTATCTGAGGATCACAGTTCTGAGCCAGCTCAGGTAATTTATCTCCAATAAACTGCCAAAAAAAGGCAGAAGTAGAGATGTCACTCAAGAGGTAGAGCACTAGATTTGAGCAAAAGAAGCTCAGGAGCAATAGCCAGGCCCTGAGTTTAAGCCCTAGGACTATCAAAACTAACTAAATAAATAATCAGTAAGTACTTATGAAGGTTTTATTTGATCACTTACCAATCTTAGTCTCAAGCTGCCGAAGCAGGTCCAAATTACCTGAGCAGAATTCTGGAGTTATATATACAATCTGGTACTTGCCTCTGTAAAGACAAACAAATTTACAAAAAGAAATAGGAAAAAAATAATAATACAAACAGGGTATTGCAATGTGGTACAACACTTGTACTTTGCATGCATGAATCCCTGAATTCAACCCTTAGTTCTGAAAGAAAAGATTAATAAAAATGGGGAAAAAGCTGGGTGCCGGTGGCTTATGCCTGTAATCCTAACTACTCAGGGGGCTAAGGTCTGAGGATCACAGTTCAAAGCCAGCCCAGGCAGGAAAAGCCATCAAACTCTTTTCTCCAATAAACCACCAGAAAACTGGAAATGGGGCTGTGACTCAAGTGGCAGTGCTAGTTTTGAGCTGAAGACCTGAAGGACAGTGCCCAGGCCCAGAGCTCAAGTCCCATGACTGACCACAAAACAAAAACAGAAAGATAATAGGGAAAAAGGGGGGGTGGGGAAGCAATCAAGCAGGTACAAAACAAATATGCCTTTAGGAAATTAAGACAGTATTCTAATTACATAGGAAACTATAAATAATCTTAATGTAAGACTGTCCAGATTTGAACTCAGTTTGTCTTCAAAACTCTAGGTTGGATACATGGCTCAAGTGGCAGAGTGCAAGCTGAGCATCTGAGCAAGCATAAGAGTCCTGAGTCCATACCCTCAATATTGGCAAAAAACAGAGAAGAGGGGAGGGAGGACAGGAGAGAAGGGAGTGGAAGGGAGGAGGGACTGAAGGAAAGGAGGGGAGAAAGAAATGTCTGCCATTCAAAGACTTGTGTAAAAATGTTCACAGTAGCTATATTTGTAATAGCCCAAAATATAAATAAACGTCAAGTAAATGAATAAACAGACTGTAATATAGACATATAATGAAATTTACTTGCTAATAAAAAGAATGAGTTATTAATAAATGTAGTAACATAATGAATTTCAAAATAATTTTGCTGCAGTACTTAAACCAAAAAATGACCACATAATAAATAAAATGCAAACTAATTTATACTGACAGAAAGTAAATCAACAGTTAATGGTGGCATAGGATCGAATTAAGAAAGTTTGATTTGCCAGTGGGACCAGTGGCTATCTAACTATCTACTCAAGAGGCTGAGATCTGAAGATCAAGATTCAAAGCCAACTGGGGCAGAAAATCCACAGAATCTTACCTCTAATAAATTACCCAAAAAAGCCAGAAGTGGAGCTTTGGCTCAAATGGTAGACTGCTTGCCTTGAGGGCAAAAAAAAAAAAAAAAAAAAACCTAAAAGACAGCAGCCAGGACTTGAGTTCAAGCCCTAGTACCAACCCCCAAAAAGCAACATTGAAAGTGATGGACATATTCATTCCCTAAACTATGATCGTGATTTATAGGTTAAAAAAAATCAACATCTACTAAATTAGGTATTTTCATTCTGTAAAATACATCATATATCAACAAAGGTGATGCAAATGGTCAAAAAAAAAAAAAAAACAGATGTTCACAAAAAGACGATTACTGGAATCCTCACACCAACCTTACTGGGAGTACCCCAAAACTAGAAATAACCTAGATGTCTATCAACAAAGAAATGTAAAACCATACTATACAACATTCATATAATAAATTATCACTCAGATTTTAAAACTACACCAGTGATATATGAAACACTATGTAAAAGTTGCAAGAACATTATGTTGACTGAAAAATTTTTACATAAAAGAGTAGTACATGAAATTCTTTTTGTGTGTGTGTGTGTCCAGTTATGGGGTCTGAACTCTGGGCCTGGGCGCTGTCCCTCAGCTCTTCAGCTCAGGGCTAGTGCTCTACCACTTGAGCCACAGCGCCACTTTCAGGTTTTTTCTTATTTGTTTATGTGGTGCTGAGGAATTGAACCCAGGGCCTCAGGCTTGCAAGGCAAACGCTCTACCACTAAGCCACCTTCCTAGCCCCTTGTACATGAAATTTTAGAGCATACAAAGCTAAATAAAAACTATAGTAAAAAAAAAAATTGGGGTGATGGTTTATTTAACTCAGGACAAAAGATGGAAAGAATATAATAAAAGAGACATTAAGAAACTTTGTAGAGTGACAGTAATATAATCTCTTTTTTTTGCCAGTCCTGGGCCTTGAACTCAAGGCCTGGGTTTCTTTTGCTCAAGGCTAGCACTCTACCACTTGAGCCACGCCACGGTACCACTTCTGGCTTTTTCTATTCATATGGTACTGAGTAATCAAACCTAAAGCTTCATGTATAACAGGGCAAGCACTCTACTATTAAGCCACACTTCCAGCTGAGCAATATAATCTTGATAGGGATCTGATTTACACCTTTGAATGCATTTCTCACAGCTCAGTAAATGGTTGTATGTATTATGTCCACATATACATACATATCTACATACATCAATATATAGAACTATCTTGTGTTCACAGATGATATTTTTCTTAGGAATTGTGTTATGATAGGATTAGTGAGCTAAGAAATCCAGAATCCATTCTGCAATTAGTTACAAATTCTCCAAGTAATGGCAAATTATTTGTCTCTGTACTTAAAGTTTCTTATGTATGTAAATACTCTTCAAGTTCTCTTCTTAGCAAAATTTGAAGATTCCATGACTACAATGCTAATTTTACAGCCCCAAGATGTTCTAAAGTTTAAAATATTTAAATTTTCTATGCTATAAAAACCACCATTAAGAAAGTACATTTCAAATATAAACATTTTATGCTATGCATTAAGGAAAATTTTTTCACATACAAAATTCTCTAATACCTTATAGACACGTGACCATATGATCAGAAATCATATAAATTACTCACAATTTGATATCTTCCAAAACATTTTTTGGTTGTGCAGATCCAAGGAAACAGGCCGAAATGTTGGACATTCTATAAGAAGAAAACAAGTATTATGGCATTCTATACAAAATACAAATATCAACTTTACTCTTACATGAAAAGGAATAAAGATACAGTTCTTTCGTGTAGTCCTCTTCGCAATCTTCATTTTGTATCTTATTAGTTTGATAAATCCCTTCAAAGCCAATGAAAATTTGGTTTCACAGTTAGTCTTTCAAAATGGCATCAAAAGATACTTTAGAGTATTTCATAGAATAAAAAATAAAAATAGGGCTAAGAATGTGGCTTAGTAGAGTTCTAGCATGCATGAAGTCCTAGGTTTGATTCCTCAGTACCACATAAACCAACAAAGCCAGAAGGAGTGCTTGTGCTCAAGTGATAGAGTGCAAGCCTTGAGCAAAAGAAGCTCAGGACAGTGCCTAGGGCCTGACTTCAAGCCCTAGGATTGGGGAAAAAAAATGAAAAATGGAAATAAATTTCTTCTAGGTACTAACTGCCAACACCTGTAATCCTAGCTACTCAGGAGACAGAGATCTGTGTGGTTCAAAGCCAACCTGGGAAGTAAATTGTCTGTGAAACTCTAATCTCCAATTAATCACCAAAATGCTGGAAGCAGAGCTGTGGCTCTGGTATAGTGCTAGCTTAGTGATAGCACCTGAGCCCTGAGTTCAAGCCCCAGGACCGGCACCAATTAAAAAATAGATAAATAAATGAAATAATAAATTTCTATATATTAATTTCATATACACTAATAAGCACAGGTAAACCAAAGGAAAAAATTTTGAAATAGTTAATATAAACTGAAAAACAGTAACAATTCTCTTTTAAAAAATGTTTTTAGAAAACTTAAGGAAGAAGATAGGCTCTTCCACTAAAGTATTATTTATTTCTAATAAAGAAAGCACCACTTCCAGAAACATGTTACTGTGAACTAGATTTCACAGTAAAAGGTTCATTCATAGAAAAAGAAAAATGGCAATCAGTTGTGATGACATAGACTTATAAACCTAGCACCCAGGAAGCTGAGACAGGAGGAGCACAAGCTCAAGGCTATCCTGAGCAACAAAGGGACACTGTCTCAAAAAGGCAAAAACAAAAAAAAGAGCAATTAGATGGGACTGCAAACAGTACTTACTGAAGCTGGAGCACTTGGTCTTCCATCAGAGAAATAAGAGGTGAGATGACAATGCCAATCTTGCCTACATATACAGGAGGATACTGGAAGCACAAACTCTTTCCATACCCTTAGAATAAAATAGCACATTCACAAATATAAAAACAAACCCTTAATACTCAAATTTCTTCTTGCAATGTACTTATGTAACACAATAAACAATACTAGCATGCCATTTTCTGAAAAGTAAATGCATGAATAAACTTGAACACCTATTCCTTGTTCATTCTCTTCTATATTTTACACCATTTGTAAATGCAAATATTTTGAGAATTTAATGCAAGTTTATGTACCTAAAACCTAATAACCAACACAGCCAGGTATCTGTAGTTCACACCTGCAATTCCACTGAGGATCAGCTACTCATGAGGCCAAGATCCAGAAAATTGTTGTTCCAAGGAAGCTCAGGAAAAAACGTTCTAGAAATTACATCTCCAAAATAAGATGGAAAAAATGGGCTGCAGATGTAACTCAAGTAAAGAACCCCAGTCAAGCAAGCAAACTGAATAAGGGTGAGCCCTGAATCCAAACACTAGTACTGGAAAAAAATAATTAACTTTATAAAAAAAGAACAAATGTGAACAAAATGATGCTGGAGGGATGCCTCAAGTGGTAAAGTCCCAATTTAGCAAGTATTTTTAGAGTAAAAGTATTGCTGGGTGCTGATAGTTCACATCTGTGATCCTAGCTACTCAGGAGACTGAGATCTGAGGATCATGGTTCAAAGCCAGCCCGGGCAAGAAAGTCTGTTCAACTCTTTATCTCCAATAAACCACCAGAAAACCAAAAGTGGAGTTGTGGCTAAAGTGGTAAAGTGCTTGCCTTGAGCTGAAGAGCTGAGGGACAGTGCCCAGGCCCAGAGTTTAAGCCCCATGACCAACAAGGAAAAAAAAAGAAAAAGAAAGTATTTATTTAAGGCAAACTTACCAGTTGCCATGACAACAACATTATCTCTTCTTTCTTCCAATACAGAATAAATAACTTTCCACTGGACCCTTGAAGGTAAAAAACAAAAAGCTATTTCATTTTATTAATAAGAAGCCCAGTGCACAAGTAAAAACCTATTTAAGGGCTGGGAAGGTGGCTCAGTGGTAGAGCACTTGCCTTGCATGCATGAGGCCCTGGGTTCGATTCCTCAGCACCACATAAGCAAAAGGAAAAAAGCCGGAAGTGGCACTTAATTTCTCACTTTCTCTAATAAAATTTCATTTATACTCTAGAGCAATTCCTGGAATTTCAAAATAAAGGACATCAACCTCTCATTCAGGCTAAGAGAAATTTTCATTTGGTATATGTATTAAATTTTATTACATGTATCTCAAGTGTAAAATAAATTCCAAGCACCAAGAAAAATAAGAAAAACAAACTTTGGTAAAATAAAAAGCACATACAGTAGAAAGATGGTATATTAAATGGTAACAGTAGAATAAAATGATAATAATAAGAACTCAGGTGATGGGTACACAGATACCCATTCTTTTTAAAGCTTTTCACCTTTACTGTTCCTTAAAATTGTTTCTTAGTAAAATGTCAAGGGAAAAATCAGTTGAAGAGGTAGTCTTTGACACTAATACTAACCTTGTCTTATATACATACTAGTTACACACTATATTTAGTTTATCAAATTTTATTAACTTATACACCAAGGAGCTTTTCTTTACAGGATATATTTCAATTTTAACTTTTAAGACTGGAAAAAGGAATAAAATGCTTCAATGAAGTCTATCCTAAATTCTCTAAACTCCACTGAGAAAATCTCCACTGAGATTTTTACTAGCTAATTTCATTCAAATGTACATGCTACTCATTTACTTTTTACACTTATATATGTACCCATTCGATTTTAAAACATCCTGAGTATATAAAGTAAATAAAATTATCTGTCTCAAAGTATTGTTTTATAAACCTTTATTTTATAAGTATACTTTGAAAATATGCTATATAAAATAAACAAACATAAAACTTGAAAAAAATAACTCAAAGAAGGAGATTGCTTAGATTATAATGCAAATGCATGTGGAAATGTAACAATGAGATCCCCCTCTACATAATTTATATAAGCTAATTTTTTTTAAAAACTTAAGGAAAAAAATAATTCACTGGTTGCAGTGGCTCAAGCTTGAAATCCTAACTACTTGTGAGGTGGAGATATGAGGATCTCAGTTTGAGATTGGCATCTCAACCAATATCAGGGTATCATAGCATGTCAGTGAACCCAGGATCTGGGAAAGCATAATGGCTGGGCAGAGTGGCCCATGTTTGTTATTCCCAGAGACACAGGAAAACACAAATCAGAAGATTAAAGCCAAGACAGTCCCAAGCATATTTCAACAAAAATAACCAACACAGCCAGGTATCTGTGATTCATATCTGCAATTCCACTGAGGATCAGCTACTCATGAGGCCAAAATCCAAAAAATTGTGGTTCCAAGGAAGCTCAGGCAAAAACATTCTAGAAATTACATCTCCAAAATAAGATGGAAAAAATGGGCTGCAGATGTAACTCAAGTAAAGAACCCCAGTCAAGCAAGCAAACTGAGTAAGGGTGAGGCCCTGAATCCAAACCCCAGTACTGGAAAAAAATAATTAACTTTATAAAAAAAAGAACAAATGTGAACAAAATGAGGCTGGAGGGATGGCTCAAGTGGTAAAGTCCCGGTTTAGCAAGTACAAAGACCTAAGTTCAATCCTTGGTATCCATGAAAGAAAAAATTCTGTTTTAAATGAAAACTCATTATAAATGTACCTAGGTTCTATAGAGAACCACTCAGTCAAAGGAAAATCATTTTTCTTTGCTTACAAAAATAATTTGCAAAAATAATTTATGAAATTATTACCCTGAAATAGTTTTGTAATCACTTATAGGATTGTGATATATATTTCAATAATGAAGTTGCATGTGCCTATTCTTGAATGAATAGCAGTTTACTTTTTTTTCCTGTTTAAAGATATAACTAAGTATATCAGTAACTAAGATTATACTCACGGTTTAAAACTGCAATGGCCAAAATAGGTCTTGAGGCAAATAATTTGCGTTGCACTGGGTTCTGGCAACAAATGATCTTAAAAATAAAATACAACGGGCACTTATGTTCATATAGAAATACTCCAGATAAGAGGAATAAAAGTTTCTGGTTTCTCATAAAGAACAGAGTTAGGTACCTAAGGTTGCCATTTTCTTTTAGTACAATTAACTTGTTCCTCTGTGTATCAGGTATGACTCGAGTTGAATGCTGTGATTAGTATTCAACTATGAGAATGCTGTGGTGGTCACACTTACCAACACTGTCAAAACCTGTATTTTATAATCAGCTACAGTTCTAGCTCTACCATCAATAATAAACACTTTAGCAAACAACAGAGCACTTCAAACTTTATAATATAACCACCTTTCAATTAATAATAAATAGAATTTACTGTCACAATCTGTTTTACAGTTTTATAGATAAAATATTTTAGTTGTCTAAAACTAAACTATTTACCTAAATAGTTTCATTTAGTTACCTAATTAGTTAACCTTAGCTACCTAAATGTGACTAAATTTTGAATCTGCACAGCATAATGGAATCATGTTTTCTCTACACAAAGACTATCACTGTCCATCCTTAAGTTGAAAGACTCATGAGTAGCCAAAACAGGATAAAACAACAATCAAGATAATTTATCACTAGACAAAATAAGGTCAAACAAGGGCATTTATGTTCTCAGCCTTAATGACTATAGATAGAAAAATAGATCTAGACAAACTACGCCTGTTCTATAAATACATTCATATAAACCCTCTACAAATGTTATAAATTGTCAATATTATGTCAATGATGAAGTCTAAATCTAGTGAGAGTTCTACTGTACAAGAAGACCCCATAACTTGTCATAATAGATACTATTATTTACATTTAAATAGAAAGTTGATTTAATACATTCTTTACTATGATACTATGCTTTTTATGTCCTGTGCCAGTATTGGGGTTTGAACTCAGGACCTGGGTGCTGTCACTAAGCTTTTTTGCCCAAGGTTAGCACTTGAGCCACAGCTCCACTTGTGGATTTTTCCTGGTTAGTTGCATTTAAGAGTATCATGGGCTTCACTGCCTGGGCTGGCTTCAAACTATAATCTTCAGATCTCAGCTCCAACTCAGTCGTGGTTACAGTTGTAGGACACTGGGGTCCAACCTGTGCTGCTTCTTTATTAGCTACACCTAATAGATCCTAAAGAGAAAATCTCTGTATCCACCTGTCATTTACAATGGATAAACAGTAAATTATTCTATTACTTTCATTAAGACACAAAATATATATTTCCAGATAAAAATTTTCACGTTACCATATCCACTTAATAACATAAATTTTATTACTTAGTGTTATAATAAGGTTGAGATAAGACAGTGAAAAGCATGAAAGAATTTAACAAGTTGCCACAAAACCACCTAACTTCTAAAACAACACCTTAATCCTAAATTAAAGTCAGTGATAAGTAACAGATTTGAGTAATTTCAGGTATAGTTCAGTAATTACCTTCATTATCTTCTTCTTCTGCTTCTTCTTCAACTTCTTCTTCTTCTTGTTCTTCTTCTTTTCCTTCTTCAACTTCATCTTTATTTTTATCTTCTTCAGTAGGAAAACTCAAGTTTCTTTCCATTTTTAAGCACTGAGAATGAACTGACTCTACAGGGCTACTATTTAAATCTTCTAAAGACTGAAAATATAAAAGAAATTTTAAAAGTACAACTGCTGCTAGTATAGAAGCATTTTCAACAATCACAAAAGGAATATTATTAACAATTTTCTCAAGGCTGGCAGATGTACAAGCAACAATACAAAAAAAGAAAATGTGTGCTCCTCTATAAATGTGCTCAAGAATGGCTTTCACAGCACAAAGCTAGAGATGGAATTAACCAACAAAAACAAGGGAAAACAGGGGAAAGTGGTCATAAAATTTAAATTTGCATAATTTAAAATATTTCTCTTTATTGTACTTCAATGATTTCTCCCAAGAGATAAATGTGTATTCTAATGGAATTTTTGTAGTGAGTTTCTCTATATCTCCTGTGAGTCAGTCATACTCTTCTTAAGTAAGGATAAAACATCAACTAAAAGCAAATAAAAAATTTGGAAATTGTCAAAAATAAAAACAAAATCAAGTAAGTTTAAGAAATAAATATTACATATGTAAAATAACAATTTGCCTTGATATTTTATCCTCTAAATAAGGATGATGAATGTCCAAAAACCTCTTTATCTATAAAAATTTTTACTAAGAAGTGATGTAGAATATTCAACCAAATGCTCACTTTTCTCTTCTTATCAAACCTTCCAATTAGCATTTTGACCTGAAGAGTTCACAAACAAAGTATATTTACTTCAGGGGAAAAAGCAATTCTCTTTCTAATATTTTTCTTCAAATTGATAAATATTCAGAGAACATTATAAAAACAGGATTCTCTAATACAAGCATTAAGGTGACCATCTAAGAGACTTAATATATCTGCTTGTAGAAGTCTACAAACGTCCTATAAATGCTCTTATACAGCATTAATCAGAAATCACTGAAAATTATGTTTTAGCTTATGTTCGTTAAATACTTGAGTGAACGTCAAGATTCTTTACTCAGCTTTATGCAATAGCTTAAATAAAAATCCCAAATATTGGTAAGAAATGTACGCATTTTCCTGCCCATGTAATTGTAACCCCTCTATACAGTATCTTCACAAATAAAATTTAAAAAAATCCCAAATATTAACTCTGAATTTCAAAGACATTATAAAATAGCCTCCCAGAAGGATTGGGATTGGGGGGGAGGGAGGAGGCTGGGAAGGGATGTGAAGGGTAAACAAAGGAGGAGGCTGCAATGCTTGGTAAGAAATGTATGCATTATCCTGCCCATGTAATTGTAATCCCTCTGTACAGTATGTTCACAAATAAAATTAAATTAAATTAAAAAAAAATAGCCTCCCAACGTTACATGGTTAATAAGTGGAGGGATTTAAATCTACATCTTAATTCAAAATTTACAATGTTAATTATCACGGTAATTGCACAAAAAAAAACTTTCATAGTAAAACATAGTAAAGTTGAACTATTAAAAAGTTATATAGAATCAATATTAAAAAGTCATAATAAAGAACTAGAGATGTGTCTCAAGTGATAGAGCACTATTTATTTTTGTCAATTATGGGATGTGAACTCAGGGTCTGTCAGGTGCTGTCCTTGAGCTCTTTTCATCAAGGCTAGTGCGGTACAACTCTGAGCCATGGTCCCATTTCCAGTTTTCTGGTGGGTGAGAGTCTCGAGGACATTACTGCCTGGGCTGACTTTGAATGGTGATCCGCAGATCTCAGCCTCCTGAGTAGCTAAGATTACAGGAGTCAGCCACCAGCACCAAGACAGAACACTATTTATAAACAAAAAAGGCCCTGAGTTCAAGTCCTAATAAGGGGAACAACAATAATAACAACAAAAGCCATAATAAATAACACTCAAGAAAATGAGAACTTCCAAATAAAAAGAGAATGGAAAAAAGGGAAATCAATTTCAATCCTGGACAGTTTAGTCACTAGCAAATTTTAGAAAAAGATTAAAAGTCAAAGAAAAAAGAACACAAAAGCTGGGAATGGTGGCATTAACAGGCTGGGAAATGTAGCACAAGCAGCAGAGTGCTTGCTTAACACACTGTTCGACAAAAGACAATCATATAGAAGATGTATTTAAAAATTAGCATATGATTTCAATAGACCAAATAAAGAGATGTGAACTGGGATTAACTCTGCCACTAAATAACTAGTATCAGCTGGGTGCCAGTGGCCCACACCTGTAATCCTACTCAGGAGGCTGAGATCTGAGGATCATAGTTTAAAGCCAGCCTGGGCAAGAAAGTCTGCCAGACTCTTATCTCCAATAAGAGTGAAGTAGTACAGCACTAGCCTTGAGCTGAAGAGCTGAGGGACAGTGCCCAAGCCCAGAGTTCAAGCCCCACAACCGACAAAAAACAACAACAATTGAATTTCACTGTAGTGGGACATGGTTGGAAATAAGGTCATATTTTAATTAAGTGTCCTTTGGGAAGAACTTGAAGTAAGTTTTCTATAATTTTCAACATACCTTCAGCATCTCCATTTCTAAATCTTCATCACTTTCAATTATGTAAGATGAATCATGTTCATTATTGTTGACTGAAGAATGCTTTTTAAAAAAGTATTTCAAACATTAGTTTCAGTATAATTGCTTCTATACTTACATTTCTACAAAATACAATATAATTAATTTTATAGCCTCTGCCAAAAAATAAAGTTCCTAAACACTAAATACTTTTAGACATCTTCCTCCTTCCGGCATAAGGCATGTTTATTTGTTTATATATCAGGTACATAGAAAAGTAGAGGAAGAGGAGAACATAAACAACAGAATCAAAGAGGATGAAAAATTTATAGACAAACTAGATAAACAGACTTTATAAAATCTCCACTTAAAATGAAAATACTAAGTGAAAAGTTCATTCATGGTTTGACAATGTCAAGCAAACTGTGTCTCCCAAACTTTTTGAGTATAGCAAGCAACCTTTTCAGAATGTAGAAAACCTCTGTGCAATATCAAAACCAATTTTTCTTTTATACCCACTGAATGGAAAAAAGGGGGAGGTTATTACTTGTAATATCAAATGAATGTGTATTTTGCAAAGAATACTTATATACATTTGAAAAAATGTCTGATAGGTTATTTGCTTAGTCTACTGCAGAAATTTGGCTATGAGGATTCTACAATATGATAGGTTATTTGCCTAGTCTACTGCTGAAATTTGGTTATGAGGACTCTACAATATCTTGGTAATCACTAAAAAGCAAGTGCCCCACAGAATAGGAAGTCACACAATCGATGCTTACAGAAAACAGAGCCCCTAATATGCTTACTATTGAAATAAGAAATGAGAAAAGGCCTTAATTAACATGCAAGATCTAAAACTAAAACAGATTTTTAAAAGATTTTAACTATAAAAGTCCTCATTTTCAAAAAGTTTTAAATTGAAAGAAAATTATACTAATAAGTATCAGACAGTAACAATGGCAAAAACTGGTATATGAAATTATGATCATAATGCTGTATTGTATGAATCATGATCACAATGCTGTATAAAAACATAATCTTAAATATATCTAATAAGAATTTTTATTGTTTTGTTTTGTTTTTGTTTTTGTTTTTTCCGGTCATAGGGCCTGAACTCTGTGCCTGAATACTGTCCCTCAGGTCTTCAGCTCAAGGTTAGCACTCTACCACTTGAGCCACAGCGCCACTGCCAGCTTTTTCTGCTTATGTGGTGCTGAGGAATTGAACCCAGGGCCTCGTGCATGCAAGGCAAGCACTCTACCACTGAGCCACCTTCCCAGCCCTAATAAGAATTTTTTAGAAATTGAATAACAGCAGCAAAAGACAGTTTTTTTTAAAATTATCTTTAGTTGCATAAAGGTTACAAAAATATTGTTTCTTAAAAAGGGCACCTAAGTCACACATGGTGGATTGAGAATGCTTTTTATGGAGGTACTGGGGTTTGAACTCAGCCTTAGCAGGCTCCGTACCACTTGAATGACATCTGCAACCCTTTTTAGGTTTTTTAGTTGTCTGGGGTTTTTAGCTTCTTCAAATCAGGTCTCATGTTTTTTTCTCAGGCTAGGCTACACTGTGATCTTCCCATTTACACATCCCATACAGTCGGGATGACCAGGCATACACCATCACACTGATTTCTAGTGGTTAAAATGAGGTTTCTTAACTATTTTGCCTGAGTTGGCCTCAAACCCAATCTGCCTCCTGAATGGTTGGAATTATAGATGTGAGATTATTTTAGTACAATTAAGTGTACACAATGAGCTTACAATGAACTTACAAATTCAATAAAATTATTACTTAAACAGTGTAAATAGAGAATTTCTCCAATACAGAAGGCTTTCTCTCCCAAAAATCTGAGAAGTAAATACTCTTAATGAATGACATCAAAATATAAAAGCTTAATTGTAAAAAGAAATAAAAACCACAAAATTCCAAGAAATATGGGCATAATTTTTTTGTTGGTTTTTTTCCTCAATTGCTAGGGATTGAATTCAGGGCACAAACACTGTCCCTGATCTTTTTTGCTCAAAGTTAGCAACCCAACACATTTTAGTCAGGCTCCTGACTAGCTAGGATAACAAATGTGAGCCACTGGCACAGGGCAAAAATAGTCATTTTAAGTAATTAGTATGCTAATAAAAAAGAAATGAAAAACTAAGAAAAAAGAGGTCTTTGTAGATGACAGTAAAGACAACTGTTACTTAAAAAAAAAAATTTTGTACAAGCCCTGAGTTCAAGCCCTAGGACCAGCATTGAAAAGAACTGTTTTTAGTCAGACAAATAGGTTCAACCTTATAATCCTAGATAACTTGGAGGACCAGATCAAAGCCAGCTTTGATCTTCACAGCCAGACACCACTGGCTCACACATGTAATCCTAGTTAGCTGGGAGGCTGAAAATGGAAGAATTGAGGTGAGTGATGAGCTTGAGCAGAAAAATTCACACAGGACCCACAGTGGCTTGTGCCTATCATCCTAAACTACACTGAAACAGTAAGTTTAAGGAGACTGTGATACCAGGCCAGCATGGGCATTAAAGTCCAAGAGACTTCATCTCCACAAAGGAAAACTGAAGGTAGTGTGGCTCAAACCTGTGAATCCAGAGTCAACTGAAACATGAAAATGGGGATAGGAACTCAGGTACATACCCAGAAGAAAAGTAAGACCCTACCCTAAAAACAACCAGTGAATGAATATAGGGCTAGAGTGCATAGTTCAGCAGTATTGGAACCAGCCTGGCTGAGTTCAAAGCAGGTATTCATTAAAAACATTTCATACTAACAACGAAGACATTCTTTTTGAGGAAATTAAAAATTGCACCAAAAAATCAGGTTTAGAAGAGCAAACATACATAAAGAATCCATAAAAAAGCACTATTATGTAGAAGACATAGAAATAATAAAATAACAAATTATAAAAGTACAATAGTGTCTACTGGCACTATAAAATACTTCCACTAGACAATGCATTTATTGTATTATGTCTGAAGCAGTAAAGCCTGGCTCACAAGCTAGTCAGCCTTCTATCTTTACAGGTAAAATTTGTAGATTAAAAAACAGAAAGTACATCTGTTCATATCTGTCCCTGGGTACTTTGACAATATGATGCAGAAACAGAAGTTGCAATGGACACTGATTATATCTCGTAAAGCCTAAACTATTTACAATGTGCCCTTTTACAAAACAAAGTCAGCCAACTCCCACTAAAGGAAAAAAAGTGTTTGCACTTTATTCAGTACCTCAGTGCACTGGTGGGAAAAATCACTGAGGGTTTGTTTCTCATTCAGCTGTTCCAATATTTGAAGTTCATACTCTGTAATATCTAATGACATTTGGCATGTTCTTTCCATGTTTTCTTTCAACTTATTATTTTCAAATTCATCTTCCAACCCTTCTTCTTGTTTCACTTTTACAAGTACATCATGTCCACCATGTTTAACTAGATTATCCAGTGATGTATCCCATGTCTCATCCTTATCTTCAGTAAGACTTTTTTCTGTAGTTTCTTTCTGCTGTTCTCTACCAACAGTTGAATCCTCCAACGATACATTAAAATGATTACTGGGCCTCACTTCGGTGGTGATTTTTGTAGGACCAAACAGAATCTTCCTCAGTGAAAACAGACTTTCTGAAATATTCTTCAATAAAATAGAAACCCTTAAAAAATTAAGAAAGATTATTCAACTTCAATTGAATTAACTCAGGACAAGTTTTAAAGCTTTCTCCTATATAAAATTTTACAAACTGAATTCTACTTAAAGAATCACAGATTCTTCATTCCCTAATGCCTATCTATGATTGAACCTGATAGGCTAGGCTACTAAAACAGCTATGTACTTCTACATTCAACAGCTGATTAATTTGCTCACTAAGAGTTGGCAGTATTTGGTTCCAAAATTATTTATTCCAGCTATACCTTTTTAATGGTAATTAATCTAATTCAATAGGAATTAAGTCAATGATTCAAAAAGGAAAGAACTCAGTAAATTCTCAGTTGAACGTAAGAAGAAAGCCTAACAAATTTCTTTTTAAAATGTTTAGTTAGGGGCTGGGAAGGTGGCTCAGTGGTAGAGCGCTTGCCTTGCATGCCTGAGGCCCTGGGTTTGATTCCTCAGCACCACATAAGCAAAAAAAAAAAAAAAAAAGCCAGAAGTAGCACTGTGGCTCAAGTGGTAGAGCGTTAGCCTTGAGCTGAAGAGCTGAGGGATAGTGCCCAGGCCCAGAGTTCAGGCCCCACGACCAGATCCAAAAAAAAAAAAAAAAGAAAGCCAAATGAAATGTGAGGCCCTGAGTTCAAGCCAATTAAAAAAAGTCTAAAGATAAAAAGTGAAAAAAAAATTAAAATAAAGTTTTGTTAACAGGACGGGAAGGTGGCTCAGTGGTAGAGTGTTTGCCTTGCATGCATGAGGCCCTGGGTTCAATTCCTCAGCACCACATAAGCAGAAAAAGCCAGAAGTGGTGCTGTGGCTCAAGTTGTACAGTACTAACCTTGAGCTGAAGAGCTGAGGGACAGTGCGCCCAGGCCCAGAGTTCAGGCCTGATGACCAATAAATAAATAAATAAATAAAGTTGTTAGCTACATTCAAAATAAATATGAAGCCAGGCACTGGTGGCTCACACCTGTAATCCTAGCTACTCAGGACGTTGAGATCTGAGGATCACAGTTCAAAGCCAGCCAGGGTAGGAAAGCCTGTGAGATTCTTATCTCCAATAAACCATCAGAAAACCCGAAGTGGTGCTGTGGCTCTAGTGGTAGAATGCTAGCCTTGAGCTGAAGAGTTGAGGGACAGTGCCCAGGCCCAGAGTTTAGGCCCCACAACCCACAAATAAATAAATAAATAAACAAATAAATGTGAAAGTCTAGAAGAAAAGTAAAGATTTCAAGGAATCTAAACTGACATTTCTTGAACATTTTAAATTTCCATTCCATCTCAAAGAAAATGCAATTTGAAATTGTAGGTGACACATTTTGATTATTTTATCTCATGGTTTGATTCAAGTTTTGTTGGTTTTTTTTTTTTCGTTATGGGGCTTGAACTCTGGGCCTGGGCACTGTCTCTTAGCTCTTCAGCTCAAGGCTAGCTCTCTACCACTTGAGCCACAGCGCCACTTCCAGCTTTTTCTGTTTACTTGGTGCTGAGGAATCAAACCCAGGGCCTCATGCATGAGGCAAGCACTCTACCACTGGGCCATCTTCCAGCCCTGATCCAACTTTTCAACTCACTGATCAATTGAAAATTTAACACATAAGAGTCCTAATGCTACACCACCCCAGTTATTAGGAAATGCAAAGACCTGGAAAAAATCATATTAAGTGATATAGGTCCCATGGTTGCAATAATTATAGTGTACATTTAGGATAATTTTATCGGATAAGCAGAAAAGCTCAAAAGCTATGTACATGACCATATAAGATAATGCTAAGCAAAATGAACCCCAAGATACAGACACAAGAGGTCTTTCTCTATTGTTATTCTTTTTAATGTACAATGTGATTTTTTTGTTCTTTTGCATGTTCTTCTGCCAATGGCATATCCCCCTTTGATTTTGGTACCCTGCATCTTGTATATACATTTCTCTAATTTGGAGAGGGAAAGAGGAATAACAAAAAGCTGAAACAAGGACACAGGATGACCCACTGCAACAATGATACCCATAAGACTCTATACTGGAAATAACTTTACAAATTTGGGAGGGAGGGGGTAAGGTAGGCGGGGAGGGAAGAGATAATGGAAGAACAACAAAGGAGAAGTAACAATGCTCGACAAGAAATGTACACATTACCTTACTCCGTAACCGTAACCCCGCTGTACAGCATCTTTACAATAAAATAAAATTTTTAAAGAAGAATACTAATGCTATTTTTAATACTATTTTGCATCTTCAAGATCTCAAAATCTAAACTCACATTTTTTGAAACAAAAAAGAAAGCTTCCTATTTATTAGGTAAATATGAGTAAAAAACACGGATAAGATTTATAAACAGATATGAACTAAATTTAACACAACGGTAGTTGCTAATGTATATAACAATTTTCACTAAGAAACTTTAAATGGATATATTAACACCAAAACTTATTAATTGAAATGGAAAACCATTATTTGGATAAAATGAGGCACATCAACTGTTTATTACTTGCTATTTCACTAAATCAGTTTTTAGGTACTTCCTAAAAGCAGAAATACACAATAATACAGGAATTACACAATAACAAAAGTATCTGGAGCAGAGAAGTATGTTTTACTATATAATTACTGTTTTTCCTTAGGTTTTCTAATTTTTCAGTGTTTAAAATCAATACTTTATAAAAGTTTTGTATTAACAATTCAACATAACTTGTTCTTTCAAATAATAAAGTAACAAAGTGCTGAGCTTCTTCAGCACTAACATTTGCACCAAATAGCACCCAAAGTTAAGCTCAAGCTTAAGTTAGCAAAGTCTGTATTAACCATTAGCACAAAATCAAGAAGAAAATTAAATTCCCCAACTAAAACCAGATCTTTTTTACCTTTGATATAAATGTTTCATTATGTTGTCCAAAATAGCTTCAGATTTGTAATCCTTCTAATCTCATCTTTCCACATCTAGTGTGCTAGTACTATAAATCTTACAAAAAATACTTCATATGTAAGAACTGTATGTAAATAATGTGATACTTTTTAATTGCTAAATAACCAGAGAATGCTTTAACAGATAAACATCAGAGTAGCATATGTTTATTTTAAGATCACTGTTTAACAAATGCTAAAGGCTATCCTGTCTTCTAAGACATTATGTACTTTTCCTTTCTTATTAGGGTAGCTATAATACATATATGTTGCATCAACAGTTGACAGAATGCCAAGTACATGAAAACAATAAAATAAAAAATCAGATCAATGATGAATACTAAGTAATAGCAATACTTTGTGTTCACTGAGGAATAAAATATTTCCTTCTAAAAAAGAAAACAAAAAAGTCCTTTGTTCTAGCTTTTATAGTTTTATCCATTCCATAGACAGGATATTATATCTTCCAGCTGTAATCAGGTACATAATCATGTCATTTTTATTCATACCACAAGCTTATCAAACTATAAGGAAAAGTTACTTTGAATGTCTCTTTATGCAAAATGGAAATATGGAAAGTGAGCATAAAAAATAATGCATGCTTACTTTAGGTAACTGGATACTTGTGGTCATTTTTGTTCCCTCCTACTTCTTTTTTTTTAATCTGTAAGTAGTCATTTTTTATTATACATTTTTACTGCAAAAATACTGTACAGGGGTTACAGTTACATGAGTAAGGTAATGAGTACAATTCCTATTGAGCACTGATGTTTTGTCCTTTATTTTTCCCCTAACATCCCTTCCTTCCCCACCTCCTCAACTAATTCCCCACCCCTTTACACCCCCCCAACCAACCCCCAGCCAAAGTTGTAAACTTCATTTTCAACATAGTGTCTTGTACATCTCATTGTTACAATGGGTCAACCTGTATCCCTATTTAAACATTTTGTTTTTCCCTTCTCCTCCCCAAATTAGAAAAATGTATATACAAGATGCAGGGCACCAAAATCAAATACAGTGAAAATGCGTTATACCATGCGGAACATAGCAAAGAAATAAACAAAATCACATAGTACATTATACATACATTATAAACAATAGCAAGAAAGAAAAAAACATTTATGTCCCTATCTTGGGGTTCATTTCACTTAATATCATCATATATGGTCATACGTACATAGCTTTTGACCTTTTCTGCTTGTCCTAAACTTATAGTAGTTATTGCAAATAAGAAGGTTATTATTTTCTTTGAAAGTCTATAAATGAAATACTACTTTGGATTCACCATTATAATTTAGTCCCGGGATTACACTTGAGACTTCTGAAGGAGAACCACCAAGTAGGTTTGGGTTTTCCCATCATCTGAATTGAGATAAGTCACTTTTGTTTGTAAAGAATATGTTTGCAATGTATTCTGTGGTCATGTATTTCTCCTGATGTTTCACAAAATGTTAATTTGTATATGGGAAAATGTGCATTGCATCTATATCCAAGATCACATTGGTGGTTTGGGATAACACAATGTTGTTCCCTCCTACTTCTGAGTTATAATCTAAATAAATCAGGTTTTACTGTATGTACACCAGTACAAAACACAGAAAGGAAGAGCTAGGCACTGGTAACCTCTAATTCTAGCACCTGAGGAGACTGAGATCTTAGGATTGGTATTTGAAGACAGCCCGGAGACCATTATGTCCAATTAAGCAGCCAAAGCCAAAAGTAGAACTGTGCCTCAAGTGGTAGATAGAGTACCAGTTGTGACAAGGGAAGTAAAGCAAAATCAAGAGGTCCTGAGTGAAAACGCTCAGAACAATGGCACATGTATATTACACGTACATACACATGTACACACACACAAAAGAATGAGAACTTTGGCTTCTTGTCATTATTTCCCATTCCTAAGTTTTAAGAAAACACTTAGTTGATATTATAAACCAAGCTATAAAATAGTTAATTGACACAAAGTAAGTATATTTACAAAATGTGGAAATATATGTGAAATCATGTAAAATCAAGTGAGAAGTGAGTTTACTGTACCTTCCGTAATTTAAAGTCAACATCTTTTAGACATTATTAAATATTAAACTGCTAGGGAGAAAATTTCTAAAAAAGCTCAATTTCTACTCCACATTCTTTTTTCCTTTTCTATGGTACTAAGGATTAACCTCAAGGCCTCAACACTTGCTCCATCACTCAAGCTCTCTATCACATTTTTTCTATACCACAATGAAAAAAATATACCTGAACTCAAGGCTTCAAGCCCTTGTGTAGCTTTTCACTCAAGGCTAGAACTTCACCACTTGAGCCATACAACTATTTCCAGCCTTTTGCTGTATCAGATATATTGACTTCAGATCTCAAGTCTCCTGAATAGCTAGCCACCAGTGCCTGGCCACATAGTTAAGTTTATCCTTCAAAACCTATCACAAATCTTATCCAAAAAAGAAAGATTAATACTGCAGTTTCTCAGAGTCAAAATTCCAATTAACTGCCTCACATTTCTACAAAATTATATAACTACTTGCAGTTCTGCAATAATATTTTAAGAGATTTTAACAAAGGAGTCATTCAGTAATAAATCACAGCAAGGTCTAGTTCCAAAGTAAGTAAACTACATACACAGCACCTTTGGTTGAAGGTCTACATATTTATAGAGAATATTTGATCAAAACATCCCAGTGCTGTAGCTAGAAAAGTCTTAAGTGTGTTATCTAGTGCTTTTGGTTTTTAAAAGTCTTCAGGTATGAGTACCATTTGTTCTATTGTAGTAGATGGGTTATTAACCAGCTAAGAGTCTTACGAGAACAAAAAAAAAAAGTACTAAACATGAAGACTATCTTCATTTGTAAATTGTAACAGATCACAATACAAATGTAAGTAAATGAAATACACCATAAACAAAAAACAACTCTACTTCTTATTTTCTTTATTGTGCATGTGTGCCAATCCTGGGGCTTGATCTCAAAGCCTAGGTGCTATCTCTAAGCTCTTTGTACTCAAAGATAGTACTCTACACCTAAGCCATAGCTCCACTTCTGGCTTGTTTGGTGGTTAAATAAGGGTCTCAGGGACTATCCTGCCTTCAATGGCTTTGAATGAAAATTCTCAGATCTCAGCCTCCTGAGTAGCTAGGATTACAGGCATGAGCCATCAGTGCCCAGCCGAAAATTTTTTCATAAATGTACACTATTTTGCTTTGATAAAAATTACAACATGTGTTTTCAAAATATCACTTGTGTACCCTATGAAATTAAGAAAATTGAGGGGGAGGGATTGGGTTGGAGGGATCAGAGAGAATGATCAAAGGGGTGATATCAATCAAGATGAACTGTATTCATGAACTAATTTGTTGAATACTAATTGCTTTGTACAACTACTTAAAAGACAATAGGATATAATTTAAAATATACATATACAGCTAGGAAGGTGAATCAGTGGTAGAGCACTTATCTTGCATGCAAAGGCCCTCAGTTCGATTCCTCAGCACTATAAAAACAGAAAAAAACAAGAAGTGGCACTGTAGCTCAAGTGGTAGAGCGCTAGCCTTGAGCTGAAGAGCTGAGGGACAGTGCCCAGGCCCAGAGTTCAAGCCCCACAACCCGAAAAAATAAATTAAATAAAATATACATATATATATATATATATATATAATTTAACTGGACGTGGTAACCTGCATTTATAACCATAGAAACCTGTCCAAAAGCACAATACTCCACCTGGAAAATAAATTAAAAGCAACGAACTAGGGCATGGCTCAAAGGGTAAGCCAAGGCCCCAATTCAATCCCCAGCACCATCCCACCAAACCAAAACAACAACAACAAAAAAAGTACAAAATAGAGCAAAAAACAATAAGACTTAGAATTTGGATATGAAATTTTAACTTGAAAGGTATTTCTCAAGCTTATTCACCAGTTGTATGTATGTATTAAAGCAAGTTTATAAGAGTCTACACTGAGGAACGTCAACTCTTCATATACAAGTATGAGAATAATAGAATTATTTAACAAAAAAAAACATAATATTTAACCTCTCTGGATTTTCTAATTTTCTGCAAGTGTCAGGAAAATGATTAGCCATATCCATCACTTCTTCAGAGATTGAAGTCAACTGTTTCTTCATTTCAAGAGGTAGAATTTTCTCCTCTAGAGGGGAGTGGGAAAATCAGTATTAATTTTCAATTTACAAAAGAGATTTTTTTTTCAGCCATCTCACTAAACACTATATTAGCTCAGGTTTTCATTTTCTTTCCTTAAATGAATTGTTTAAGTCTTCTTTATTTAATTCCCCATCACATCAACCACTTTTTCTTCTTAAATTTTACTTAAAAAATCCTAAATGGGTCTACATTCATATATACTAAAACCTAGTTGTAATTGACCAAGGCAATGAAGAAATGAAAATCTAACCCCTTCTACCCCTTACTACCTGATGAGCCAATACAAATAAAAGCTGTTATTTAAACTCTTTTGGTAAATACATCCTTACCAAAGTTACTCTTCATTGCAACCACAAAATGAAAAACAAAATGTAAGTCTTCCTAATAAGACTATATTCTAAATTCTCAATTTTATTTCAACTGACAGGTTATATCAACAGCACAAAATCTGCTTTCCTTCCCCAAACCTTTAAATTTCTTCATCATTTTTCTTGTTCAAAATGACCAGCTCCAATGACGCATGTAACCCAAGACCATAGTGTTTTCTTCTTCCTGTTTCCTAGTTATCTCAAAATTATCTAAACATACTGATGACTTTAGAGCCCAGTTTATTATCTACCTCCATTGCAATTCCAGTTTTTCTCCCTAGTAATTTCAAAATGCTAAAACCAACTGTGCCCTTTGTGTTTCTTGTCCTCTCCCATTTCAAACCATCTTTTCCTCACCTAAGTCACTCATTCCCCATAATCATACTATTAACATTGTAAGTGCCAAAACCATTTCGAAATTTTAACTGTAAGGATTCTATGCCCTAACTTTAAATAACAAAAATCTCAAATGACTCCTTAGAACTATTAATTTTATAGCTCATACTTACCCATAATACAACCTTGTCATACCTTTAGTTTTCTGTTTGAGCCTCTAAAAACTGTGAAGCAAGAGCTTCACTGCTAATTCACTCAGAAGATATTATAAAAAGAACTAACTCATCTCCCTATCTTCCAATCTGCTAAACTATTTCCATCTGCAATTACAGCAAAATTAGAGAGTTGCCCATACATACTGTCTTGATTTCCTCCTAAACCAATTATGCTTATCACCTGTCATCAGGGCACAGCAGGTTCTCAGCGTTATCAGAAAAGAAAAAAAAAAAAGAATTCACAGGTACATAGAGGTGTTTTAACAAATTAAGGTTTATTGAAGCAAAAATCAAAGTACACTCTCAAGACAGTATGAATAAAGACCACCAGATAAAGATGAAAAGCATATCCAGCTCTCAGAATGGGAAAAACAGAAATGTTAATTTTATGTACATAATTATTTCTTCCTAAGAACCAGGAGGGCTTTTCTAGAATTTGGAGGAATGGGAGTAGTTTTACCTACCAATGTCCTCAGGACAAGGCTGGTAATTTGAAGGGAAATACATGCATCAAACTGCAACTTCAATGAAATGGAGATAAGGCATCTAGGTAATCTTTATTCTCTAAGACTGGGAGAAATATCAGCTGGAGACCCTTAACTGCTGTTTAAAAAAAAAAAGTGGGCCAGCCAACAACTGCATGTCAATCAAGATGTCTGGAAAAATGTATCCAGAAATTTTACAGCACTGATCTATGCTCTTTCATTATTACAATCATTATTACTATTATATTATTATTCCCTTTCTACCTGACTGTCCCCTCAAGGAAAATGGACCCTTATAAGCTTATAAGGAAAGAGATGTATGAAGGTCTCTTCTTCTGTAGTTTCTTCATGCTGAAAATGGGCATGAACCCATTTTCCTTGCTAACTAAATGGGTAAAAGGAAGCCAGCTGAAGAATAAAAGTGGTGATAACTTAGTCCAAAAGACTATTACTTGATATCTGTTCCTCTGGAGAAGTGGCTGAAATGCTTGAAGGACTATTAACTGCAAGTGGGGCCCTTTAAACCTGGAAAATATCAGAAAGGTTAAGCACTTGGCTAAACATCAATGCTATGAATAGCAAAGTGGGTCCCAGAGTGGAAAGAGCCATTAAGGCTGTTCAGAACAATCTCAGAGATGGCCACAGAAACCTGTTCCTTTAGATAAGCCACTGACCTAATAGATTAATTCAGACCATAGTGGATTGGTTAACATAGAAGCAGCAGTCTTTCTGGAGAAGGAAGCAAAGTGCCATTCTGAGCTGTTGGAGTATGTGTCTGGGGCCTGTTGAATTGAAGACAATTCCTACTGATCTTCCAAAGACAACAGGATCTCAGAAATGTCCTGGTTGCTTAAGCTTAATTCCTTTTGAGTCCTCCTCATCAGAGCAGGACTTGAGGACAGTGGTCTATCATGAAAAAGCAGTATTGAAAGGTAGTTACCATATCCACAGGAATCAGAAAGCTTAGGAAACATGTCCAGAATTACCCTGGTGGCCTCCCCTCCATTGTGGATGGTTATAGAGGGGGGTGGCTGTAGAAGGCCTTTGGCAACTTTAATCAGACATAGCCAACAATTGCCTTTAAGGGCTTGATCCCAACTCCCTCTGGAACTGTGGGCAACCCTTCTTCCAGTGCCCCTTTAGTTTACAGATGGAGCATGGTGCTTTTGACAGCTGTCATCCTTGAGGACATTCTCTGCTCCAATGTCCTGGTTGCTGACAGTTGTAGCAAGCTCCTTTGCCTGCTGCTTTCTGGGGGACCCTAACTGGATAATCCAAAGGTGTCAGGACATCTCAAAAATCAATCAAAAATTGTGCTTGTCTTTGCAGTTGTTTCTTTTCCCTATTCACTCTGCCTCTTTTCCTCTACCTAATCCCTGTTGTTAAACACATGGAAAGCAATCTCCATCAATTTGTCGAGAGGGACTGGGTAGGCCTCAAGTGCATTTTGGAGCTTTCTACATATATCAGGGGCTGACTGGTAAATGAAATGTATTCCTACGATAATACGGAAAAGTTCAGACTCAGGATCCATTCTACTATACTTTCTAAGAGCTTCTATAAGACTGCTCTTAAAGAGGGCAGGATTTTCATCTGGCCCCTGAATTACTTCTTTTATCTTATTATTGTCAGCCTGGGCCTTGGCATCTCTCCTCATGCCCTCCTTGAGACACTGGATCATTGTTAATACCTGTGTGCTCCCTCTTTGATTGGGCTCATACTTCCAGAGGAGGTCAGAATTGGGTACTACATTTACTCTGAAGGGAAACATGCCAGTTGTTCATCAGCAAATTGTTGGGCAGAAACCCAAATATGGTGTTTTTCACCAGCAGAGCAACAATAAGAAAAAAGTATATCTAAAACCTTCCAGGTACAATCAAAAATGGCAAGAATATCCTGGAAGTCCCGCATGAATCGACCTGGATCCTCAGAAAAGTTACCTGGTCTATCTTTACAATGTGTGTGGTACTTCACTGAAAAGGTACACAAACTTTCACAGTTCTATTCCCTCCAACTTCTACCTCCTAGGGGGCATTCATTAAGGGGTTAGGGGTAAATTGTGCCAAAAGAGATGAGATGTTCTCCTCACGCAAGTGTAGGTGCTTAGGTGAGGATTCGCTTTGCCTTTTGGGGAATGACTGATCTATCTCTGGGATGAACTGGGGAATAGAAAGGGAATGGGATCTTTTCTAGTCAGGTTTAGACATTTTCAACTGTACAAGCACAATAAATATCTAGTATATAACTTAATTCCATAAAGATCTGGACATATGGAATCTCAGACCACTTCCCTTGCCTTCTGTAAAACATATCAAGTTTTGAGATGACATGAAAATTTAGGCTTCCATTTTCAGGCAAAATTTCTTAATCCTATAATTTATATTGAGGCCAATCAACATTACAAAAATGGGTAAGGTCCAAAAATTCATATGGAACAATAAAAAACCCTGAATAGCAAAAACGATCCTTAACAGAATGAACAGTGCTGGAGGAATATCAATACCAAATTTCAAACTCTACTACAAAGCCATAGTAATCAAAACAGCTTGGTACTGGCACAAAACAGACCTCAGGACCAATGGAATAGAATTGAAGACCCAAAAATGAACCCACAAACATATAGCCATCTAATCTTCGATAAGGGAGCTAAAGAAATAAAATGGAAGAAAGATAGCCTCTTCAGTAAATGGTGCTAGCAAAATTGGTTAATCACTTGTAGAAAACTAGATCCTTATATATCACCCTGCACCAGAATCTACTCCAAATGGATCAAAGACCTCGAAGTCAAAGCAGACACTGAAAACATTACAGGACAGAATAGGAGAAATCCTAGGTCTCCTTGGCACAGGCTGAAATTTTCTTAATAGAGACCCAGAAACACAACAAATCAAAGAAAGGCTGGACAAATGGGATTGCATGAAATTGCAGAGATTCTGCATGGCAAAGGACATAGCTAGCAAGATCAATAGAAAGCCCACACATTGGGAGAAGATCTTCACTAGCCACACAACGGACAAGGGTCTCATATCTAAAATATATTTAGAACACAAAAAATTAAATCTCCCAATAACAAATCCTCAAAGAAACAACTGCCCAATAAATAAGTGGGCTAAAGACTTAAGAGAGAAACTTCTCTGAAGAGGAAAGAAGGATGGCCAATAGACACATGAAGAAATGCTCAACCTCCCTAGCCATAAAAGAAATGCAAATCAAAACAACATTGAGATGCCACCTTACCCCTGTTAGAATGGCTATAATCAAGAACTCTAATAACAACAGATGCTGGAGGGGGATGTGGCCAGAAGGGAACCCTACTGCATTGTTGGTGGGAGTGTAAACTTGTTCAACCACTTTGGAAAGTAGGATGGAGGTTCCTCAAAAGACTCCACATAGAGCTCCCCTATGACCCAGCAATCCCACTTTTGGGCATTTACCCAAATGAACACAAACAAGACCATACGAAAGCTACCAGCATAACTATGTTTATTGCAGCATTACTTACCATAGCTAAGATATGGAACAAACCCAGATGCCCCTCAGTAGATGAATGGATCAAGAAAATGTGGTATATATACACAATGG